ATGGAATATTACGATACAAGCCTCCTCTAATTTTGAGATGCTGTTGGTTTTACTTGGCAATTCCAGAACCATTGGGATTTCTGACCTAGTTAAGACAACCTCTGAATGAGACTTTGGTTTAACCCTCATTGAGATGCTGAGAGACCGCTTGGTATATGGGATTAATGATGTAACTGTGCAAAAGCACCATGTCTGGCTTTATCATTGGAAAATGCAACAAGTGGAGGATATGAGTTGCAGGACATTCTGATGGAAATGGATATCCTCACCAATTCGACTGAGCTTGGGGAACATCACTTGAGTGAAGGCAATTCCATAACCTCATTCAGGACAAATCCTGAACAGAGGGACTCTAGGTCACCTCACAACTAAACCCCAAAACAAAGCCAAGCCTCAGTCAAATTGGTAAAATGTTCTTCAGCAATGGTTTCAGCAAACCATTATAGTTGCTGCCTGTATACAGATTCAAGACAGCAAAAGATTGCCACTAGACCCAAGTTGAGTAAGAGAACTTATAGGCCAGTATCTAGGAGAGTGCACACACTGGAAAGTCCACTAATACCTTTACAGGCATAAATTTGTAATAATGGACTGCAAACCCCTGCTAGGTCTACTTAAAGAGGACAAGGCAGGGCTGCCCATAGCTTCAGGCTGAATTCAGCGGTGGGCTGTAATACTAAGTGCGTAAAATTACAAGTTGGAACACTGTCTGTGCAAATGAGGATACATTGAACCACCTTGCACTGGCAGATATACCACTGGTGGGACCACCACTGGAAGAGTCTGTAATGGTTTTAAATTTTCTGGATACACCTCCAGTCACAGCTAAGAATTTCAGACTTTGGATGCAGGAAGATCCGGCCCTGGCAAAACTGAACAGCTGGTGGTGATGGGGGAAACCGAAGGGCCATCACAACCAGAACTGAAACCTTTTTGGACCCAGAGACACCAGATCACAATGAACGGGCATATTATTATGGGGAGTAAGAGAGATTGTCCCGAGCAAAGGTTGCCACCAGGTACTGGTTGAACTCCGCCAGGGTCATCCAGGGGTCTCCAAAATGAAGATGTTGGGTAGACGTTAAGTCTGGTGGCCAGGATTAGATACAGATACAGCTGCGTGATGGGGCAGTGCCAACAAGGACAAAAGTTACTGCCAGCAATGCGGGGAATGTGTTGGCAGTAAAACCTGGACTCAGTTACATGTTAACTATGCAGGTCCTTTCTTGGGCTCAATGTTCTTAGTCATTGTGGATGCCCACTCATTCGTCAAACACAGGGACGATGATAGAGAAACTGCACACATCTTTTGCAATACACAAACTTCCGAAAGTGTTGGTCACAAATAATGGCCATCGTTTACCAGCAGGGAATTCAACTATTACCTAAAGTCAAATGGTATTTGTCATATAAGGACAGCCCTATAACATCTATCATCCAATGGTCTGGCATAAAGAGCAGTCCAAATTTTGAAGGTAGGCTTGAAGAAACAACCCAAAGCTTCGCTAGATACCAAACTGTCCCAGTTCCTATATGACCAGCTACAGGGATAGCTCCAGCAGAGTTTCTATGTAGGTGAGCTACTGTGTGTTACACACTGCCCATATCAGAGGCAGAGTTGGACAAAGCTGACACTAAGTTTTAACACCCCAAGGAGAAGCTACAAAAAAAAGAGCTGGCCTATGTTCTCGGACTCGGAGGGTTATAGGGATGTAGTGATTGTAATGAGGTCAGCCAGTTGGACATCATAGAATATGAGTTCCCTGATTGGGGCTGTTAACCTGGTCCAATCAGGGAGCCCTGGCTGACAGATAGAAACAGGAGTCTCAGAGGTTCTGTCCACTCTGAGAGCTAGCTTTGAGGGAGCTGGATCAGTGTCAAGGACTCTTCACGTGTAAATAAACAATGACTTGGTGATGGGATACCAGCTTCTGTGGAGTTATTTCAGCTACAATCCCCCAGGAGCGGAGCAAATCATTTCTTCACCACATTTGCGCCCTTTTCCAAAAGGGTTCTTCACAGAGGCTTCACTAAACAGATGGGGATATGCCTCATAGAATCCCTGCACTGCAGAAAGTGGCCATTCAGCCCAGTGATTCTGCACTGACCCTCTGAAGAGCATTCCACTCGGCCCCCTACTTTATTCCTGTAATCCTCCATTGACCATGGCTAATAGTCATGATGGGGTTCATTGCCCCCTTATATCCTTATGAGGATGACAAGTACAGAGATAGGAAATTAGGAGCCTGCATCTGGGAAAAGGACTCCCCCACCCCGACACAGGACAACCATTTGATCCTGATGTCAGGGTCCCGGATCCTGCTGGAATATCCCACCCATTGTGTTCCACAGATGGACAGATAAAGTGGACTGTTGTTGATCGATGTTTTAATCTTAAAACTCATCAGGTGATACTTTACATCTACAAGATTGTGGAGGGACTCGAGAGGTGTGAAAGGCGGAGTCTCTTTCCTCTTCTGAGGCAAGACTGGAACTGGGGGGATACAGATAAAGAACAAGGAGTGTCCCTTTTCAGACAGGGCTGAGTCTTGTACATGTTGTAGAAATAAACACAACAGCTGATGGTCAGGTTAGGGTGCCGTCACAAATCCTACTCTCTGTCTGGATCTAAGGAGAGGAAGAGACATACAAGACTTGTCACTGGACTGGTTATCCAAGGGGGCAGGCTAACCTTCTGAGGAGAAGAGCTCACATCCTAACATGGCAGATAGTGAAATTCTAATTCAATAACAGTTTGGAATTAAAAGCAAGCATAATATGACTGAGTAACGGATGATGATGGTCATAAAATCCCATCTGGTTCACTAATGATTTGAGGGGAAGAGATCTGTTATCCTTTACCCATTCTGGCCTACACGTGACTCCAGACTCAGAACAGTGTGGTTGACTCTTAACTGATCTTTGAGATTACCAAGCTAGCTACTCAGTTGTGTCAACCACCTGTGAAGTTTGGGGAACAGTGGTAGAGAATGAACTGTTAGTGAGTCTTAACACGAAAGGGCACTTGTCTTAAAAACAAGATGTACTTTACTGCATTATAGCAATAGATACAAGGCAGATTGGTTAGTTAGACATCATTGTTAAAACTATCAGAGTATAGGGATGCCCAATCTGAACTCCATCATGCTATTGAGCTACATTGTTTATTTTTTAATCTAAGATTGCATGGCACTCTCAGGTTCAACAGAGGCAAACACAGTTCCCAGTATTAACTCTTTGAGAACCATTAGCATATACAACATTTTCCCTCCAACCCACCCTTGGAGCATTTCATTCCCATGGTCAATGGTCATATATTCAATTTTATAATTACTTTTACATTTGCCACCAACCATTCTTGAAAAAGCTCCACAGAGGCTGGTATCCCATCACCATGTCACCATGTCACCATGTCACCCTTTATTTGTCCATGAACAGTCCTTGACTTTAGCACTTTCAGAGTCAGCTCCCAGAGTGTCAGTATCTCCAACATTCTCCTTTTTATCTGTCAGCCAGGGCTCCCTGATTGGGCCTGACTAACAACCACAACTGACATTCTATGAGGTCCAGCTGGCTGACCTTGTTACAATCACTACACTCCTCATTTTGAGTCTCTGCTAAGACTAGGGAGCATATTTTTAAGGTGAGAGGAGAGAGGTTTGACAAAAGATACATGGGGCAACTAAGGTCAAAAAGACACGACCAATACTCACTCTATCCACACGGATAAGGAGAACCACCAATTCAACTGGGACAAGCAAAGCAGAGACAAGCACGGGAATTCCTAGAAGCCTGGTTCTCCACAAAGAAGGCCATCAACAAACACATAGAGCTAGACCCCATATACACTCCACTGCGAAGGAAAACCGGAAGTGAGGTAATCCAGCTGAATGGACACCAGAGTTTAAAAACCAGGTGGGAAAACACAACAGCGCTTAATCGGAGGCTGCACTGATGATGTTACCCAGCAGGGTAATGAAACATCTGCGGAATAACAAACCAGCTCGGTGAGCCAATCAACCACAAGGGGCAACTTCTATTCCGTGTGGTTTGTGTGTGGAATGAACTTCAAGAGGAAGTGGTGGATGTGGATACAGTTACAATGTTTAAAACATTTTTGGATAAGTAGATGAATAAGAAATGTTTGGAGGGAAATGGCCCAAGAGCAGGCAAGTGGGACTAGTTTAGTTTGGGATTATGGTTGACATGGACTGCTGGACAGAAGGGTCTGTTTACGTGCCGTATGACTCTATTACACAAATTAAGGCAGTCTGGAAGCTCCACAATCCTCCCAGAATGTGTTCTCTTTGTACTTGGGAAACTGGTGGATCTTTGGCTTTGAGAATTGTTGACCTTGATTCTGATCGCCTGTGAATCAATCTGTTGGTGGATAATCTTCTATCTTTTGGGTCTGCTTCATGAAGGATGGTGTTCCTATTAAACCAAGAGCCAAACCATTATCTTATCTGGAGCACCCTTACTCTCCTGAGTTCCCAGCACAGAGGAACTCTACCCTGTTGATTCAGGGAGTTGGCCAATAACATTATCTGGATGGAGGGCAGGCATTTTATCTTTTGGATGTCCATTAAGGAAGATGGCTACTCTGTTGAAGCAAATTATTTCTCCTTTGCAGTATCCTTAATTTCTGTTTGATTGTGTGCTGCACCTATGGACATTAGTTTGGCTTCCATGGAGTCACAAACAGCTCTACTGTCTTTTGGCCAGGTTAGTCTTTATTCTCAATCTGCTGATATGTCTCTGCTGAGGAATGTAAGCTCTTTAATGCAACTTTTTTGGAGTAGTTTGGATGTCTTCATTTATTCTCGGTGCATGTGCAGACCTTTTCACATCCTTCATCATCTTACTGAAGAATTGCTGCTTATTTAACGTTATTCAAGATGGCGGACAAATAGCTCGTCCGCTCCCATCTACTTTCTTTCGATTCTTTTTCTTGACTTCTTTTTGCTTTTGCTCGATTTCATTTTTCCTTTTCTTTAAAGCCTGGAGGCTGGCAGGTGAAGGAGGAGGCCTCCGGTGGCAGCAGCAGCGATGCCAGGACGAGTTGGACACGACCACCACACCAGCCCTGGGTCTCCTGGCAATCGGGGAGCAGGTCTCAGGCTGACTCCCCTGGCCTGGACTCGCAGGCTGAGCCAAGGTTCCAGGTCCACGACTAGGCCCGGTCGCCTGATGGAACGGTAGTGTTGGCGGAAAGGAAAGAGGAGGTCCCTGACAGCTAGCGTCTGGCGGATGGGGAACAGGAAGTATGGAGCATCCCCAGGCCCATCGCTCCAGCTTGGTCATGGCAATCGTGGAGCGGCAGTGGCAAAGGCCTATAATTGAGAGCCCAGAGCCCGTTACAGAGACCCCATTTAAGAGAACCTGGCTGATATCAAGCAGCAACTGGAGAGCAGTGTAGAAGGAACAGGAAGAAGAGAGGAAGATGAACTCCATTGCAGTAAAATTTTACAATATATTCAGTGTTTCAAGATGACACTGGAGAGCAGCGACACTTTGTGTATAGCATGCAAAGAACACTTTTCACTGTATTTTTTTGTATACATGTGACAATAAATCTAAGTCTAAATCTAATGTGGTCTTTGTCACTGCTACTTTATTGCAAGACAAAGGATTGAAAAGCTGAAATCTTTAGTTCATGCCAATTGACGGTCATGAATCAGTGTTAAATCTACTATATCTGTTTGTTTACCAAACTGTTTCGCTATTGTAACAGCTACAATTAATGTTTCCTCAATGAGTTCAAGTGGGTTATACTGCTCATTCTTCTCAGTGTTTGCTTTTCTAAAAAAAACTTCGCTTATTTTTGTCCTCTGAATTTTCTTCAGTTAAGATACTATTAGAAAACACTTCCACTAGTGCCACATAGTCACAGTTTTCCATCCTATTAACAGAATGAAACAATGTTTTTATGATAGCATCAGTAAACTCAAAGGAATCTTTTGTCCTTTGATTTCTGCCATCTGTCTAGGAGACCCAATGAAACATTCTGCAGGTTGCTCCTTTACCAATTGACCAACCACAGTTTATTCCTGGATCTATTATACTCTTCAAACTAGTTGAAAACCTTCTGCCACTTCAAGGGTGTTGAACTCAAGACATGTGCAGGCTCAACAGAGACAACCACAGTTAGCATGCAGAGCTGGGCAAAGAAGTGGCAGATGGAATTCAACCCAGAAAAATGTGAAATGATTCATTTTGGAAGGTTAAATTTGAATGCAGAATATAGGGTTAATGGCAGGATTCTCGGCAGTGTGGAGGAACAGGGGGATCTTGAGGTCCATGTTCATAGATCCCTCAAAGTTGCTCCCCAAGTTGATAGGGTTGTAAAGAAGGCGTATGGTGTGATGGCTTTCATTGGCAGGGGGATTGAGTTTAGGAGCCACGAGGTTATGCTGCAGCTCTATAAAACTCTGGTTAGACCACACTTGGAATATTATGTTCAGTTCCGGTTGCCTCATTATACGAAGGATGTGGAAGCTTTAGAGAGGGTGCAGAGGAGATTTACCAGGATGCTGCCTGGATTCGAGGGCGGATCTTATGAGGAAAGGTTGAGGGAGCAAGGGCTTTTCTCATTGGAGCGAAGAAAGATGAGGGGTGACTTGATAGAGGTTTACAAGATGATGAGAGGCATAGATAGAGTGGATAGCCAGAGACTTTTTCCCAGGGCGGAAATGACTATTACGAGGGGGCATAATTTTAAGGTGATTGGAGGAAGGTAGAGGGGAGATGTCAGAGGTAGGTTCTTTACACAGAGAGTGGTGGGCGCATGGAATGCGCTGCCAGCGGTGGTAGTGGGGTCAGATACATTAGGCACATTTAAGCGACTCTTGGAAAAGCACATGGAGGATAGCAAAATGTAGGGTATGCAGGGTAGTTTGATCTTAGGAGGATAATAGGTTGACACAACATCGTGGGCCAAAGGGCCTATACTGTATTGTACTGTTCTATGTTCTATGTTCAATGTTCCATGTTCTAAGTGTTGATTGTGCACTGTATACGTAGTTCCAATATTCTAATGCTCTTTGTGTTACAGTGTTACTTATAGCTTGCTGTTAGGGGTTATTCCACATGAAATACGTTGTTTCTTCCCTTCAGGCTGCAACTTTTGTTACTTCAGCCGCGGCATTTGATTCAATAAACAGCGACATTAACGCTAAGCTTAAAATGAATGAGCTCTTCATTGGCTTTATTGTTTGCATTAGATTCTTGGGGTTGTATTATTTCTCTTGCTACTTATTCTTAATGTGATATTTACCTTTCTTCCTTTAAAGCTGTTATAAACCTGTTGACCTCCCGGTCGGGTGCAGTGGCCTCCCGGGATAGTGTAATGACCTACCAGCCTGGCATGGTGGACTGAAGCGATCTCACAGCCTCGTGATCCTCAAGATGAAGCCTGATCCAGTCTGGACCCAGAATTCGGTGTGGACTGGAAGCTAGGTGTAGTCTGGGTTGGAAGGCCGTGGTTCTGAACTTTTATTTCTGCCATGGTGGCCATTTTACTTCCCTATTGTCTAAAAAATCTGTACCAAGGTACCTTTGTACCTAAGATGGCACTGTACATGGCGACATATAAATTTTTCACTGTACTCATTGAGTATATATGACGATAAAGGCTAACTCTAATTCTAATTCTAATTCTAATTCTAATTCATATCATATGTTGTTTGTGATGTGCTGGATTTTCTGCTTTTAACCTTGTTTTATAGCAAAATCTACTTGCAAGATTTGATAATTCTGCATTATTATGTTGCTGTATTTGTGCCCTTGTTTACAGGCTTTTTTAACTTTGTATTATTGGAATTCTATCGCATTTTACCTCATTTAATGCTTTGAATTTGGTTAAATAACAATATTGTATCTTTGTACTCCTTGCTGAGGGTTATCCTGACATTTTTGCAGTCAAATTGGTGGCTTCCCACCTCCTGCGGGCAAAATTGAAATTTTTCTTTTGTTTTCTCCAGTTTTGATGCAGGTTTCCTGCAAAATGAACACATTTGGGCCTTTTACAGCCTAATGGAGAATGAAAATCCCTTTCAGTGACTACTGATATAAACCTCTTTGTTTGTCACCTTAATCAATATTTCCACCAAAATCACTGTTTAAGTTATGTATCCCATATCTTACCGCAGCTTTAAAATTCTCATCATTATCTTCTTCTGGTAAACTCTTCTAAATCTTTTAAATAGCCCCCGTGTTACTTTAACTCTGCTCTGCAATAATCCTGATGCTGCAAACTTGGTATTAATTAATTTAATGGTCTTGACCTCACTAATGTAGCCATGCCTCATATTTTCTACTTGTAATGGTGGCAAACTTTACCATGAATATAAGCTCTCCTTTTTTGTTTCTATCTTTCTCAGCTTGGTCCTTTGCACTGTTCCAGTTGTTCTTTTCTCCCCCTTGATAACAGGGTTTTTCAATTATATTCACAAAGTTCTGAAGTAGTCACTTTCTAACTGACCTTTAAATGAAGAAGGGTCCAGACCCGAAACATCAACCTTCCCGCTCCTCTGATGCTGCCTGGCCTGCTGTGTTCTTCCAGTGTTCCACACTGTGTTATCTCTGACTCCAGCACCAGCAGTTCTTGCTATCTCTGCTCCTATAGATCATTCTTCTCTAAGGACTCTGGAAATGCCAAGTGGGGCTAGTTTTATTTTAGTCCCTTGCTAACCCACTTTGACTTTCTGGCGCTCCTTACCAGTTCCGAGATGAAGTTTTTCGCACGGAGTGCTGCTCCTAACTTGCCATTCCTTCTACAATCTTTGCTGACTAATTATCTGTTCAAGTCACTGCTGACTAAGTCAGAAAATCTTTAAAATTCCAATTGTTTTACCCCTGGGTACAATTGATTTTTTTTTCCCCACCATTGTTACCTTGTGACCTTTAAACAACAGGACCCAAAGATGCCCAAACATATGAACATCCTGTGCCATCATTCAATAGGATCAGATCCAAACTGCTGACTCCATTTTGCTTCCTACTTCCAATAATATTTCACTTCCTTATTTATCAAAAATCCATGTACCTTTGCCTCAAGGACCTTGCTTCCACTGTTTGAGAAAGAGAGTTTTAAAGACTCACGACCCGCTGTGAGAAAAAGTTTCTGCTCATTTCTGCTTCAAATTGACAACCCCTTAATTTTAAGCAATGACCGCCTAGTTCCAAATTCACCCACACAAGAGAATGCCCTTTCCATACTCACATTGTCAAGACCCCACAGGATCTTATACGCTTCAATCTTTTACTCCCTAAAACTGCAGCTAATACAAGCCTGGTCTATCCAATGTTTCCTTATCAGTCAATCGTTCCAGGTGTAAGTCGGATAAGCTTCCTCTGAATTGTTTCCAATGTATTTACATCTTCCTTAAACAAGGAGAGAAATGCTGTATGCAATACTCCAGATATGTGATCCCACAATGCACCTTATAACTGGAACATATCGTCCTTATTTTTGTATTCATAGAATCATACAGCATGGAAACCCAAAAAACATCCTTTGTCCCATTTGCCAGCATTTGGCCTATATCCCTCTGAAACAGTGCGTCTCATATATTCATCCAGATGCAGCAGGGTGTGGCACTGTGGCTCAGTGGTTAACACTGCTGCCTCACAGTGCCAGGGACCCAGGTTCAATTCCACCCTCGGACGACTGTCTGTACGGAGTTTGCACATTCTGCCTGTGTCTGCGTGGGTTTCCTCCAGGTGCTCCGGTTTCCTCACACAGTCCAAAGATGTGCATGCTAGGGGGATTGGCCATGCTAAATTGCCCATTGCATTCAGGGATGTGTAGGGTTATACAGGTGGGTTATAGGGCAATGGGTCTGAGTGGGATGCTCTGAGGTTCAGTGTGGACTTGTTGAGCCGAAGGGCCCGTTTCCACACTGTAGGGATTCTATGATTCTAGATGAGTTTTAAATGTTGTAATTGTACCAGCCTCCAACACCTCCTCTGGCAGCTGATTCCATACACACACCACCCTCTATGTGAAAAAGTTACTCCTCAGGCCCTTTCTGAATCTTTCCCCTTTCACCCTAAATATTTGCCTCTCTAGTTTTGGACTCCGCCACCCTAGGAATTCATTTCCCTTCACATTTGACCTTCTGAGCTGAGCTCCCGGCAACGTTCCCCCTCCCAGGGCTGACAGAGTCCTCTCTGT